ACTATGGGGAGGAAGTGGGAGGGGAGCTGTTGCATTGTGGTAAACTGTGGTCAATGACATGAGACAAAGTATATGTGAACTGCTGTATGAAAAGTGAGTTTGCTCTGTAAATCTTCACCCAAATCACAATAAATAAATAAATAAATAAATGGGGTGGGGGGAAGAATCAGTCTTAATTCTAGTACTGGGAGTTTGCCAGAAGTTCAATCTGAGAGGCAGACAGCAGTTTTGTTCAGTGGTAGTAACCCAAATAGAAAGAAGTAAAAAGAGGCTGATGTCCTGGAATACCCTTCCTGGAAGGTAAGACAGAGTCAAAATTTCCAAATTAATTTATGAGTTAAATAGAATTGCAAGCAATACACCAATGATATATTTTGGACATTGGCAAATGATTCAAAATTTCCACAGGAAGAAGAAATGAATGATAAAACTTAAGAAAAAGCTGAGGAGGGAAAATTAGAGAGAGGAGTACTGATAGAACACTGGAACTAGAAAAATGGCCCAGAAATATTCACTACTACTGTATAGCGTAGTGCCTGAGGCACTTGACTGCTAACCAGAAGGCTAGGAGTTCGAACCCACCAGCCACTCCTCAGAAGGAAGGTTGGGCAATCTACTTCCGTCATGATCTGCCTTGGAAACCCAAGGAGGGGTTGCTATGAGTCGGGTCCAACTCAATCACACATAACAACAACAACAGCAACTGTATTTGTAAGAGAAGGGTGTAAAATCAGACAACTGTGAAAAGAAAAAAAGCAGGGAACACATACTAATAATAACTAAAAGTGAAAGAGTATTTAAAATGCTAATTTAATCAGTTTTTGTAAATATAACTTAAAGCCTCACCATACATCATACATCAAAATAAACTGCAGATGGATTGAAAAGTGAAATTTCACTTATGAAATTATTAGGCAACTCTAAAAGAAAGATATGTAAATATTTTCTGAACTAAGGGTCATATTATAAAAAAATAATACAAAGGAAAAGAAGATGTGTAACTACATAAACACTTTAATACTTCTCTATCCAAAAAAGCCTACCACATGGCTAAATAATAAACCAGAAATAAAAATGCTGCCGTATAAGAAATATCAAACTGTCTGTGACTTTAAAAAGAGGTTATGAAAACTATTAAGATTAAGAAAAATAATTAATGTAAATTAAAGCATCTGTTACATTTCCTTCACCTGTTCAATAAGTTAGCTAAGATAGTTTATATGATTAGACAGCCCCCAGAAAGAGGATAGTGAGGCAGGTAAGCCCACATACTGCCAGCCAGAACACAAAGCATTCTAAGCTTTTTGGAAAGCAACTTTGTTCTTTATGGAAAGAATTTTAAATAGATTCTTGTCCTTTACCTCAGTAATTCCACTTCTAGAAATTTAGCCTTTTCTTAAACACACCGTCACACAAGGAAATTTGAAGAAATAAACCTAAATGTAAGCAACAGCTTAAGTATATTACATAGGACTCATGTGATGGAATATCATGTAATCACTTAAAATTCAGTTTTTCAAGGTTATTTATTTAGGAAATCGCCAATGTGTTTTAAGTACTATTTGCCAGCCTCTAGTCTAAATACATGAGCTCTGGTAGCATAGTGCCTAAGGCACTTGACTGCTAACCAGAAGGCTGGCAGTTCAAACGCACCAGCCACTCCTCAGAAGGAGACAGGATATTTTGGAACTTCTTAATTTAATGGATTTAAATTTCCAGTTTTTGTTAAAAATCATTCCACAGTGATAAATCAAATGATAAAAGTAAACATGTTTAAGCAAGCTAGAAAATGGATTATATATTTTATCCTGCCTTTAATGTGGAGATTCACACACACACACACACACACACATACACACACACATATAAAATCTGAAAATATTGTGGACTGCTGAAAGAATGAAAAAATCTGTCCTGGAAGAAGTGCAGCCAGAATGCTCCTTGGAAGCGAGAATGGCCAGGCTTCATCTCCCTACTTTGGTCATGTTGTCAGAAGGGACCATTCCCTGGAGAAGGATGTCATGCTCAGTAAAGTGGAGGGTTGGCAAAAGAGAGGAAGGCCTTCAACAAATGATTGACACAGTAGCTGCAGCGATGGGCTCAGGTTTAATAGGGATCGTGAGACTGTCACAGGACCGGGCAATATTTCATTCTGCTGTGCATAAGGTCGCTATGAGCCAGAGAAGACTAGATGACACATAACAACAACAACAATAGATGTATGTGTATATATATATCTATATATATACACACCTCAAGAATATGGGCTCCTTGTAATTGTTTTGATGTTTCAAAGTGCATTTGTATATGTATATAAGGTTATCTGTTTGTTGTTATTGTTAATTCAGTCTACCCAACAGATTTTCCTCGTTGTTTTATGTCTCTAATTCTCACTTCAAATCTGAATGTTTTTACATTCTATTTTAATCATTTCTCTATTTCTATTTTAGTTTTAGGAAGAGTAAAAAATTCCATTTCATAAAGATTCTGTTAAAGTTTCCAAGCCGTGTCATGTTTCATTCTTTAGTTTATTCCACTCTTCAGTGTAGGCTTTTGTGTTTATTTGTATAATTAATGTGAACTGCTCCTGAGGTCTGCAGTACAAAAGCAGACATACCTTGGTTATTCCTTCCAACTAATTGCTCAAGCATCCATCTACCTAATAAAGAGAAAGTTGAACATATTTTTTGAGGCTCCTTTTATTTATCAATTGTCTAAGATCCGGTACAAAGGATAGCAGTCTTCCTTTGTTTTTAAGAGGCTACCTGAGTTTGGTCAATCCCAAACTACTGATGTTCCTAAGTTCTACATTATGTTGAATTTTAAACTGAATCCCCAACTATGTCTACTCAGTAATTGTTTCAGGATGGTGCTTTAAACAGAGTGATTGCGAGAGGCGTACTAAATGACTTTTTTTTTTTGTATCCATGTTTGGTTTTTTCTCTTCTTTTTTAAAACGTAGGCTTCCAAGGACAGGATGATATGTCAGCTTAAGGTCTCTATGCTCACATGATGCATAGGAGAAAATAAAGACATTTTATACAGTATATGTAACATCTCAGATAGTGTGTCATATTATAGCTTGGTTGAACTTATTACATTTATAATTCTTTTGCTCTACTATGGTGGTTTTGTCCCTGAATGGCCCAATCTATTCTGATGGCAGAATCTAATGAGTCACAGCCTACTGTGGTGGACTTGTCCCTGAGTAGCACAATCTAAGTGCTTTACTACTAATGGAAAGGTTGGCTATTCACACCCACCCAGAGGCACTTCAGAAGAAAGGTCTGGTGATCTGCTTCCAAAAGGTCATAGCCTAGAAACTCTTCTGGGCATAGTTCTGCTCTGCACACATGGGGTTGCCATGAATTGGAATCAACTTGAAGTAATGGTGGCCTTAAATAAGTACATGATTCATAGGAGAAATCCTCTGATTTGGAGAAGGAATGGAGAAAGGCAAGCTGTGAGCCTGTGCTAGAATATGGAGGGTGTCGGCAACATGTATTTTCCCAGGATCCTCCTCAGAGCCCCCATGACCTCCTTATTCCTCAGACTATAGATGAGAGGGTTCAGGGCTGGGGTGACGATTGTATAGAAAACAGAGATGATGTTGTCCTGCTTCGGGCTGTGGAAGGAACTGGGCAGGACATACATAAATGTAGCAGCTCCATAGAACATCCCAACCACAGTCAAGTGAGAAGAGCATGTGACAAGAGCTTTCTGCCTTCCCTCATTAGAGGACATGTGGAGCACAGTAAATAGGATTAACATGTAGGAAGCAACAATGACACAGAGGGGGGGCAAGAGGAAAGTCACACCTGTCACATACACCATGAGCTCATATCTAGAAGTATCAGCACAGGCCAGCTTCAGCAAGGGTGGGATCTCACACAGCAGGTGCCTGATTTCCTGGGACATGCAGAAAGGGAAGTGCATGGTATACAAGGTGTGCCCTAAAGCATTCAAGGATGCCAAGATCCAGGGAGTGGCCACCATGAGACAGCAGACCCTCGGACTCATGAGGACCATGTAGTTCAGAGGATGACATATGGCCACATACCTGTCATAGGCCATGAAGGCCAGCAGGAGGTCCTCTGCACCACCCAATGTCAGTGCCAGGAACATCTGAAGTGCACAGCCTCCAAAGGAGATGGTGTTTTCTTGGTGCAGAAAATCCACAAGGGCCTTGGGGGTGACAACAGATGTGAAGAGGAGATCCATGAGTGAGAGTTGCCTCATGGGCACATGGAGCCGGGCATCCATTGTGATGACCAGGAGCAGCAGGCCATTGCTGGTCAGGGCCAGCATGTACAGGACTGCAATTGTGGCACAGAGCAGTTCAGGAGATCCACTGTCATTCAGAATGCCCATCAAGATGAAGCCACTTCCCAAGGTGGAGTTCCAGAGCCCCATTCTGTGTGGCTTATTTAGTTGCCAAGTCCTAGATGGATATTCATTGAAAGATTTGCTATGTATGGTATGCACCCCACGTTTGTATTGTTCCAGGGCACTGCAAGGTGGACAATGGGAGTCCCATGGAATGATATCTTTCCTCTTGCCAGCTAAATTTGCTCTTCTGATTTCTGAATTTTAAAAACTGAATGATGAAAAAAGCAGCAGATAAGTAGAGTGCAGGGTATATTGGTAATAGCAAATCATTTAGCAATCTCTAAATAAGTCATCCAAGAGAATAAGCCCAGGCAAACATCTTTTTAGACAAATAGGTTTTCTCTCTTTATAGTAACAAAACATACTAAGCATTAGTTTAAAATCCATCTGGATCTCAGCTGAAAATATACTTGGGACTCCAATTCAGTTTAAAAAGTATTTTTTATAATACAGCTCTTTGACATGTTCTCCCCTAGTTGTTAATATCTGTTTTCACTTTCATGGCACATTGCTGTTGACAGCTTCCTCAACAGGGGAGACTACTGGCTCTTGGATCACTCATCCTTTTTTCTTTTTTCTTTTTCTTTTTATTTTAAGAGCTTATTTTACATTCAACGTCATACATATATTTAGTTTCATTCCCCATTCGCCATGTCCAACCCTAACCCAGTCTCCTCCCCTCCCTACGCTGCAACCCACCCCCTGTGCCCCTCATAATTATGTACTCCTGTTTGTCCTGCATTTCCTCAGTTTGAATGTTGGTCCTTTGGTGTCCCATGGTCTATTGCTCTAAGAGATGTATTACCATTGAGTGTGTGGGTACAGCATCCTGGGTTGAGTGGTCTACGTGTACATCTTGTTAACTCTTGGGCTGAGAACCCACCCCTGAGGGTGGGATCACTCATTCTTTTGCACTGTTGTAGTCTCCTTGTATCCTTGATGAGCATACTGATATTCTGCCACAGTGACTGTAAATTATGGGCTGCAAGGAATGATCGGGTAGTAGAGATTTTGGAGGTAACTCTGTACAGAGTCTAGAAAGTGCTTGCCTATTTACAGGTGATAATAACATGTTTGGGAGGAGACATGAAAAAGATAATAGGTGACATTTTCAAAAGCATGTCAAGGTGTTTGTGTTTAGGGCATAAAATAAAAGGACTGAGCTACAAAAGAGGAAAAAGTAACCCAAAGCTACTCTGCCACAGCAAGACTATGAACATGCAGTGATCAGTGTCATGAAACAAAATATGTATGAAATGTTGAATGGAAAATTAATCTGTTCTGTAAAATTTCACTCAAATCATAATAAAAAGGTAAAAAAAAAAAAAACACTATGAACATGGAAAACAGATACTTCTAGCTCAAAAATGGAAGCAGTATCAGGAAGGATACTGGTCTGCTGAATCCTGAATTCAGATGGTAGTCCTGGGGAAGCAGGGTTGAAGTGCAGAGGAAGTAGAGTGGTGAGGTTTCTGGGGCAACATTCACTTACCTGTATTCTTTGTGAATAAGGATCTTTTACGGTTGAATAGGGAGCTCAGGAAGCACTCTAGAAGAGAAGAGAGTTCTTTACCTTTCCCCTCTGTCATCTGGACCTATTCCTCCAATATTTTGTTTATGTCACCACCCTGGTTAACTCAGAGTTGGGACATTTATTTGGTAGGATCATAAAATCCTGAAGTTGGAAAAGGGAGATACCCTTGTCTTCAATCCATAAACATTTACAAAGGACCTACCTGTGCTATGGTTATTTCACAGATGTGAAAAATTCATCACACAAACAACTACATACATTCAATGGTGATAACTGATACAGAAAGAACAATATAACAAACTACGAGCCCACACAATTGAAATTTTAGGGAAGGAATATGCAAGTAAGTGACAAAAATGCTGCACACTGAGGATGAATAGAAGGTAGCTGACGAGGGTTCAGGATAATACTGGGAGAGGGATGTATGCAGGTCAGAACATCTGAAGAATGGTGGGTGCAAAACTCTCCTCCCTGCGTTTTTGCCACAGTGAAGTCTAGGCAAGAAATCAGTCAGAAAAATGCCCTCTTTAAAATTGTGTGTCATCATTCCTTGGGGTCTGAAATCTTTCTCTTGCCTCATAAAACTAAAACA